ACTCACACACACACCGCCACATACACAGCCCGCCTCACACACACACACACACAGAGCCCACCACACACACCCCAACTCACACACTCACACACCCCACCTCACACACATGCTGCCACACATACACACCCACCATGCACACACACACCCTGCGTGCACACACACCCCACACATATCCTGCCACATGCATGCCCATACACACACCTGCCCCACCACATACCCTCACACAACCACTCCCTCCGTACACATGCCCTCCTTTACACATACGCCTGTCCCACCACATGCACACACACATACCTGCCACACACACCCATCCCCCATCCCCCACATGCCCCCACCACATGCCTGCCCTGTCCCATGCACGCACAGACACATGCATGTGTGTTCCACTGAGTGCCACTGGCATCTGTCTCTGTTCCCCACCCACCCTCATCCCGATAGAGTTGCTCTGACAAATTTTGCCTTCATTGTTCTGCCCTTAAAAATACCATTTCAGTACCACTGCATGTATGACTATGAATCTGTTGTCCAGTTTTGTTTTGAGCTTCATAAAATGATACTGCATATTAGCACCTGGGTTTTCTTTTTCACTCAGCTTTGTGAGGTAAATCATGCTGTTACCTGAGATTGTGGTAGAAGCTTTTCTTGAATTGTTTACAACTTTGGGGAAAGTGTGTGGAAGAGCTGGGACCCCCCCCCAGTGGACACCACCCCCTCCCCTTGATCTCCCGTCTGCTCCACTACCTCTCAGGGAGATGGGTGCTTGCTGCGTGTGTCGTGATGGGGCAGGGGCCATAGACCTGGAGGAAACCCTTTGCAGGGGGCCTTGCCCACAAGGGGCAGTGTCTCTGAGCAGACAATAATCTTTAGGCCTTTTTTCAGGTAAATCTAATATGGGCCAAAGGAATTTCCTGGAAGATGTACATCTTGAGGGGGAGTTTGCAAAATGAGAGACAAGTACCGTAGCTTCTTGTGAAGTGGTCTCATGCTCCAGCCAAGCCACATGCACTCAGGAGCCAGAGAGCTGAGTGAGGACCCCTGGAGAGGGGAGGGGTGTGTGGGAGGGGGTCCCCGAAGGAGAGAAATGTCAGGCACTGCATTCAATGTGAAGCAAAGGCAGATGAGAAAGCATGATGGAAATTTCTCAGAGGCATCCACATGTTTACACGAACTGCTCCAAGTCTTGGTTAGACCCACAGAAGACCCAAAGACCCACCTGTCTCTGTGTGCAGGGGCTGCCCAAACACCACCTGGGGAGGGTCCATGGCCCAGTGGAGCTGCCGGCAGAAGTCCTGGCGGTCATCCACGTGGATATAGTCATAAATGTTTTGGTGCATCACATCCGTCTGCAACATTGCAACATTGTTTTAAACTAAGTGAATCTGCATGCTTTTTATTCCAGTGATTAATAATTGCAAAACCTCTCTCACTCACTGCCCTCTAAAGATGTCTCATGGGAAAGGCAGGAGTTTGGCATCTGACTCATGCGAGGCCCCCCAGCCCCCAGCCTCCCACTCACCCAGGCAGTGCTCTTGGGGGACAGAGCAGGAGGCTCAGAGACCAAACACCTTCTGGGTCCAGGATACTCACTTTTCTCCAGGACTCCGAGAGCTCATCAAGCTGTGTGTTTATGATGTGGGCACTTTTCGTCCTATCACAAAAGTTTATTAGGAAAGCATCCCTGAGAAGTGAGGTGGGAACTGCCAGGTGAGACCAGAGTCACAAGGTGAGACAGGAGCTGCCAGGTGAGCTGGGAACCATCAGAGCAGATGAGAGCCTGGCCAGGCCTCCTGGCCAGTGACTTCCTTCATCCCAGCACTTCCAGGCCTGGCTGCTGCTGCTTTCTACGATGCCACAAGGACCTGCTGGTCTCCCACCCTCTCTGGTCCTTTGTCCTCCCACCTACTTGAGCCCTGAACACAGAGGCCGACCCTCGAAGGCACCAGGTCTACACTGAGAAGCTGCACTTCAGGGTGCAGAGGCCACAACTGGGAGCTACAGAGACCGGTTTCCAAGGAACATGACCGTTGCGATCGTCGGCAGAAGCGTTCTCAGAGGGCGGTGCACGTCTCCTCCTTACCTTCCCTTAACTCAAAGCTGTCGCCCATTATCCACACTGAGAACCTGGCCCAACAACACCTGCATAAGCTGCCAGGTGCCATTAGTGATCTCTTTGGAATGGGCCATTTCTAAGTTGTGTCATTTCCCAACAGGATCATTACAATAATTAGATGGAGGGAAAGTTCCTGAAAAATCAAGACCAGAAATTGGTTACTTTTAGAGAAAGTAACCAGTAGACTCACCCAGCCTGGATGAGACCTACCATGTTTTCAAGGAGTTGTACTCTTGCCTGTAACTCCATGGCGAGGGTTCATTGGGACCCCAGACGTCAAACGAGATACAACAGCAGGAAGGTAGAAAAGGATTATGATCATGACTTGAAAGCTGTGCTACGGTCACCAGTGCATTCCTTAGCTCAAAGAGCCTGTGTTTTCAGAGAAAGAAGTGGTCAGAGAGGTCAGACTGCTTGTTGTCCTTGGTCGTTGTCGTCTAGGGTCACAGGCTCTGGACATGAACTTGGGCCAATGGGCAGAAACCAACTCAGAGTGAAAGTGGACGCACTAGGCTTTCCCGCCAGCTCAAGACCTGGTGGCTCCCCGCTCACCTGCCTGCTCGTACCTCACCCGGCGGCCCTGTGATCACGAGTGCCCTTCCCACAGGGACACTTTCCTAATAACGGTAATACTGAGATTCCGTGTGACATATAGGCTGAAAAGTGCCCAAATCAAAAGCATACAGTCGGAGGAGTGAGTTCTCAGTGTAACCAACACTCAGATCAGGAAACAGGACACAAAAGCTTCTCAGAGCCCCCTTCCCTCCAAGGCGGCGGCCACGGTGCAGACGACGCGTGCTGTAGGCTGGTTATGTTTGTAAATGGAACGCTGTTCTTCGATGTCTGTCCTCTTGTTCAACGTCACAATTGTAACGTTCACCCATGCCGTGTGTGTGGCAGCAGTTTCTCGTGCCCACAGGGTGAGTGTTTCCACCTGATTAGCCCACTGGGCCCCTTCCACACGCCACTACTGTGTCTGAGTGCATCTCGTTGGGCACACACCTGGGTGGGCCGGGGGTGGCCAAGGGCCAGCCTTAGTAGACCACGCCAAGCACCTTTCCCGAGTGAGTGCACAAGTACGCCACCGCCACGGCGCGTGCCAGGCCAGTCACTTTACATTCTGGCTGGCACGTAGCGTTCCCAGTCTTCTTTATCTGAGCCGCCGTTTCTCACTGTGGTTTTTGTCTCACTGCCTGTCATAAAGCCCAGTGAAGCTGTGCATCTCTCACATATTTATTGGTCTTCAAGTGCAAGTGTGTGCATGTTACACATGTCATGTGGGCGTGCATGTGTTGCCTTGTTTTGTCCTTCCCCCAGTTCCATTGCTGATTTTCCTGTTCTTCAGCTGCTCTGGACATGGGTCCCCTACTGGGTGGGCTCTGCTGCCAACATCATCACTCCCTGGCCTGCCCTCCTGCTCTCTTAGTGGATCTAACGCAGCCAATTCATCAGTCTTTCCTCCTGGGTGGGGTGTTGCCCTCATCATTCCTCACCGATCTCCTAACTCTGTCCTGAAGCTTCTAGAAACTTCTACCATCCCCTGATATTTACTGTGCATGGTGTGAGGTAAGAGTCAGGATTCATTTCTTTTCCATGTGGATCCAGTTCACCCAACTCCATTTGTTGACAAGACCACCATTTCCCCACCACCAGGCAGTGCCCCCTCTGTTATAACTCCCACACCCGTGCACACTGAGCTTCTGCCCTGAGCTTCCAGTTCTGTCTGTGAGTCTGTTCGTCAACCTTTGTGCCGATCCCACACTGTCCCAGCAACTGGGTTTTACAGGAAGTCTTGTGTCCAGCATTTAAGTCCCCAGTAATCACCACTCTTGCCCCCTTGTCCTCTCTGGATGGTCCTAGATAGTCTCAGCTCTCTGCATTCCCAAAAGCTTGTCCATTTCCACCTAGAAAAGCTGCTCGGTTTTTATGTCATTACCTCTGTAACATGATCTGACATCTTTATAATGATAATTGGAGCCCTCCAATTCACAAATATGGCATATCCTTCTGTTTGTCTGGTTCTTCTTTAAATTCTATAAATAATGTTTTCTATTTTCTTGTGAGGTACTGCATACCACTTGATTGACTCATTACTGGGAATTCAGTGTTCTTCTGTCCTGCTGTAGATGGATGGCATTTTCCCTTCTATAGTTTTGATGAAAGGAAAAGACCATGCTGACCTCTGAGCACGGGGCAGTCATAGTTCCCATGGCGACTTAATAAACAGGCACTGTCATTCAGTTATTCTCTTGTGAGCTTTGATGGGTGACCCCACACTTTGTAGAATCCCAGAAAGGTGGGTGTCCCTGGATGCCCTGTTCATGTCTCCTCACACCTTAGTTAATTAATGGAAGGGATGTGTAGAATTAACATGCAAGAGAGGATCTGTGGTTTAACCAAAACAGGAGACAGACCAACTGGGGGGGGGCATAATAAAACTGGAAAAGATATTTCTGACTCAGACAAATTTGAAGACATATAAATGTGAGTATTTTTTAGGTTGGGGGAATAAAGGTATAATAATTAGTGTGGCATGACTGACTGCCCTTAGTCTCCCTTAATCTCCCAGAGTCTGCTCCCTACAAAGCAAGGTCAAGAAAAATAAATGGTGGGGAAATGTGACAAGGAGTGGAGAGAGTAATATAGTAATTGTTCAAATAGTGGGGCAAAAAACAAATAGTGGAAAAACAAACACAGCTTTGATCAAGTAAAGCCAGCCTTTATTTTAGTTCTAAACCATCATTTACGGAGTTAAGAATAAAATTATTACTAACTTTTACAAACCTCATTCCAGCAGTTGTCATCTTTACTTTTTGTGCAAATTGTGTACCCATCTGTTACCTAGCCTGTGGGACTCTTGACTGCTCCAGTGCCCTCACCCTGGTTCACATGGGGACAGTTTGCCCCCAACTGCCGGTCTTTGAGGGAATGAACCACCTCTTGAATTAATAAATGTAGATGGCAACTAAAATATGCATCTAAAACCTACTTGTTCATCACAAAGACTCCTGAACCTGAACATACTAAAATAATCAGTTCCCGACTTTTGTTAAGTATTTTGCACAAGAAGCTCACAGCACAAAGCTGTTCTAATATTTTCCCGAAATATTTTGCATCGAGGCAATGCCTGATTTAATGGCATTTGGAAACCATTTCCTCATAATAAAAGGCAAAACTTTATTTTACGTCTAACACTTGGTGGAAAATAACCAAGCTCCAAGAAAATAGAGAATCCAGGGAGTAAGTTTAGACCTGGGACCAAAGCTGCTCCTCAGGACACTTGCATTTATTACCAAAGCCACCCCCAGATTCTGGCTGAAGGCAGGCAGCTCTGGATGTGTCTGGAGAATTCACAGGGCAATTCAGCAGACAGTGATAGGAGCTGAAGGGAATTCTGACCATGGAAAACGCGGACTAGACCATGTTTTCCTAGATTTGACCCTGCACATGCAATCAAAATGACACACAAAAAAAGGCTTCCTCATTTGGGGGCTGGAATCATATCATGTCCACAGCCTGGCACCAGCTATCAGGGGGCCCCTGAGCTCTGTGTCACACGAGGGGGCCCTATGGCCAGAGAGCTTGGCAACCCTGAGAGCACGTGCAGAAGGCTAAAGTGGGGAGGAAGGGCCTCAGTCCGCCACTCCAGGAGCTCATCTGTCTGGGGTGGGTGATGCATTCCCCACCACTTCAGATCTCCTGACACCTGCCCCACATGTCTTCAGGAGGTGGAGATGGACACAAGGACACAGTGATGGGAGCCTTATCGTCACCCACTGCCACGAGCAGCCAACAGGCAGCCTCCCCTGCAGCAGGGCTAGTGGTGCGGATGCTTCCCCCTGACTGTCACCAGGTGGCTAATGCTCTGCCCAGTGCTCTGTATGTGGAGGAGGAAAAGGAGGCTCAGAGAGAGCAGAGCTGAGGCTCTACCCCCTGGCCTGACAGGGCAGCCCCAGGAGTGCCTCTTGGAGGTCACGCCCACCACACTTCATCTACTCGCCACACGCTGGCCGTATCTGTGGGGTCCTTGCCGGGGCCACACCTCCATGTGCTGCAGGGGCCGACCCAGGCCACGTGGTCGGCTATCGCCACAGGCTGTCCTGTGGAAGAGCCAGTGGCAGGGAAGAGGCCTGGTCAGGACAGGGTGTGTCAGCCATTTGGTCCTGGGTTCAGGTGGTAGGAAAGCAAATGTAGAGGTGGGTGTAAGAGGAATTGCTTCTCAGAATCATCTGTATAGTGACAGCCACTTCAGTTTTGGAAATGAGTCAAAGTGACAGTTTTCATGGAAATTAGATCAAATGCTCCAATCAGCTTCAGGGGCCTCAGGCCGACTTGAATTTTCACATGTGTCAGGGACCCACATTCTCTGATCTTGGCTTCCACCACCCTTTGCTTCTGGGCACGCCCTGGGTCTTCCACTCATCCAGTGAGATTTTTGTTATTAACTCCATGTACTGCCTCTAAGCTTCATTCATCACTTGGCTCTGATCCCGGATCCTGCACACATTTCCCCTCTGCTGGCAAAGGTACTCCCGGCACTGTAGGAGAGAGGTCGGGCCCCTCGAGTGCCGGCCACACCCAGCCCAGGACTCCCTGCCATGGGTAGCCTCCCCGAGAGTCTAGCCAGCATCCCAGTGGGCAGTTTCCTGCTGGCTAGCCCTGGCCTGGGGCACCTCACTGACCTTTCCATCACCCAGGGGCCGTGGCTTCACCCTCACCAGTAAGGGTGTCTCCAGAAAGTGCTCCTTGCTGGAGCGCCCGGCCTCCTGAGGGCTCCACCCTCTGTGCTCCTGTGTTACTAGTTGATGATCTTTACACTAAACTTGCATCCATTCTTTATATTAAGCCACTCAAATCACTTCACAATTTCTGCCTCCAAACAGGACGCTGACTGACAGACACACTGTGTGCCTCATTTTTCAAAGTTGTATTTTGTTCTCTCTCTAATCCGGCTATTTGTATGTTGAATGGAGTGTGTTCATAATTTTGCATGCTGAACCCCTCTTCAGAGGGGATATCTTTATGAGGATGGCTGTGGCCTTGCTGCTGAAGGGTCACATTTGTGTTTCCCTGAGGCCCCGAGATCTCGCCTGTCCACCACTAGCTCTGGACTAGGGGGCCTGCACTTTGCAAGAGTGTGAATTTGGATTTGGACTTCCAGCTCAAGCTTTGGATTTCTCTTCATTCCCGCTGGGAACAGAGGCCAGGCAGAGAAGTTTCCTTTGCCCTCCCTGGGCCATGGGTGGGGGGTTTTATTGCACCTTTTCTTGGGGGAGGATCCCAGTGTTTGATGGGTCTCAACCCCAGAGCCCTGCCCCAATGTCTGGAATCATCCAGTCTGGGCAGGCCTGGGGTAACGGACCAAATGAATTATCTGTGAATCAAGAAGGGCATTTCCAGAACACGCTATTTCCTGAATGTGCCCCAAATCTGAGGTTCCAGACAGTGATGCTGCAGCAAGGAGAGGCGCCCTGGTGCTCACCAGCTCCTCACCTGAATGTGAGATGCGTGGTGGGGGCACAGCCAGCAAAATTCACTGCCCCGTACACTTGTGACACCCTGGACACTGTCACATCTCTTGTACGACCTGGAACCCTAGACAAAGCTGGGGTGTGAAAATCCTTACCTGAGAAAAGCTCTGTGATAAGAAAAGCCCGATTTTGCAGATGTTTAAGGCTGGAAGACAGTAAGCACGTGCAAGACAGTGGAACCCACTGCATAGCAGGTCGAAGAGCTGTGTTTACCTGGTGGAAGCCCAGATAGTCCACGATTGTTGCTGAAGCATAAAATATCATGCCTTCTGCACTCACGACCAGGGCAAAGCCATCGAGAGACTAGAAGAGACAAGAACTCAAATTGGCTCCTGCATACATTCTCAAAATCCTCACAATGAGAAAGTGCAAGCATTGTTTTTGCTGCACTCTTGTAGTCTGTATTCATAAACTTCAGAAACACCCACTTTTAATTTATTTATGACAATTTTGCAACAGGTCCCAAGTTAGCAGATGACAGGGGAACTTGGTCATCATTTATAAGCCTCAAGACTGTGTTCTTCTTTTTCTAGTGATTATAAGACTCGTGGTTTACAAAATATAAATATCTTAATGACAAGATGAGACTCCACCAGTATCTGAGACATAACAGGAACCTTACTTCACCTACGTGGACTTTCTCTGTTCACGTACTGTCTTCCAGCCTATGTTCTGGTTTTCCTAAGAGTTTTTATCATGAAGAAATATTGAACTCCATCAAGTGCTATTCCTACATCTACTGAAATAATCACATAAAATTTCTTTTGTTTATTAATGTGGCGAATTTGGTGATAGATTTCTGATGATGAATCGTTCTTGTGTATTATGGGGTAAGCCTTATCATAATTTTATTTATTTTTTTATTTTTTATTTTTCAAAGATTTTATTTATTTATTTGACAGAGAGAGACACAGCGAGAGGGAACACAAGCAGGGGGAGTGGGAGAGGGAGAAGCAGGCCCCCCGCGGAGCAGGGAGCCCGATGCGGGGCTCGATCCCAGGACCCTGGGATTATGACCTGAGCCCAAGGCAGATGCTTAATGACTGAGCCAACCAGGCACCCCGCCTTATCATAGTTTTAAATATGTTCTTGGGATTGACTCATTTCACTTAGGAGATATTCATCTATATTTAAGGAAAAGCTAGTCTATGAGCATCTCTCCTTATTTTGGTGTCAAGATCACCAGAAATGAGTCAGACCCCTCTCCCTCTTTCCCATTTCCTGAACCCACTTTTTTTAAGGCAAGGATAATCTGCTCTTTGAAAGTTTGGTTTCACTTCCAAGAGCATCCAGCTTGGGCACATTTTGGGGAGAGGGCAAGTGAAAAGGGGCAGATTTTAGCACCATATCAATTTATGTAATGGTTGTTAGCATATCCAGGTTTTTAATTTTTTTCTTATATCAATTATAGCTTCTTAAAATATTTTCTATCAGTGCATCCATTTGTTAGTGTATGTTATTCATATTTTTATAATTATTAAATCTCAGTTGTACCCATAATTTTTGGGTGTGTGTGTGTGTGTGTGTAGAAAATTAGGGCACGTGACTGTGTTGTGCCCGATTTCAAGTCTTTATTTGAAAAGCAAGCTTTTCAGCCCCATCCCGCAATGGCTTCCCAGAATCACCAGTAGTGAAGGTGCATAGGGGAGCACAGCCACTGGATTGCATGATCAATGAGCATTTCTTCCATCTATCTATCTACCCATCTATTATCTTCTTCCTCCTTCCCACCATCATCATCATTATGATAAAGAAAGTGACAGTTCATGCTGTGTAGGTCCTCATGAGTGTCAAGTGCCCTACATGAAGTAGCTCATTCAATTCTGCATCACCTCCACGGGGCAGGAGGTTGTAACTCTACTTGGTCAGTGCAGAAGCTGGAGGTGAGGGAGGCACCCGGACAGTGGAATTCATAAATATTTCAATTTGTGTCTTTAAAATACAGACATTTAGAGACTTTAAATTAACTTCTATAGTTTGTGGTTATTAGCAATGTATCACAATACTTATTTCCCTTAATTATTGACCATGTGGGATACTCTTTCTTCCTTTCCCTTTTTCTTTTTCTTTCTTTCTTTCTTTCTTTCTTTCTTTCTTTCTTTCTTTCTTTCTTCCTTTCTTTTTCTTTCTTTCTTTTTAAATTTTTGCCATTTTTTAAGTGATAAATTTTTTACCATTATTATAATTTTTATTTCTTTGACTATTAATGGGATTGATATTAATGAGCTCTCATACATTCACTGTTAACCTATAGTTCTTCTTTGGTAAACTGCCTGTGCATATCATGTGCTAATTTTTCTGTTAGGGTTTTATAAATATCAATTTCTAAGAGCTTTTAAATTACTGATATTGAAGATTTCTAGGCATTCTAGGAAAATGGCAGCCACTTAAACCCAAATACCCTCACTTCTAAATGATGTAAAACAACATGAATGCGTGAAACTACACAAATCTATGCCCTTGTCATGATGAGAACAGAGGGAACTGGTAACTTCCAAGTCCTTATTAGCAGAAAAGACAGTACTAAGTCCCAGTGAGCTATGAAAGGAAGAAAGTGTGCAGTTTCTCCTTATGAAACTAGGGGAAAAGAGCCGATTAAATCCAATGTAAGTGGAAGAAAAAAAATAAAAACAAAAGTGAAAAAAATCAATGATATTGTTTAAAACTGTAAAATAATAAACATCATCAACAAAGTCAATTTGGTTCTTCGAAAAGATTAATAAACTGATAAACCCCTAGCAATTTTGATCAAGAAAAATACAAATTACTGACACAAGAGATTTAAAATCATTACAGATCTTACAGACATTAAAAGGGTAGTAAGAAAATATTAAGAATGAATTTCAATAAATTAAGCAATTTAAATGAAATGGACAAATTCCCTGAAACACACTAACAAAACTGATATAAGAACAATAGAAGGGGCACCTGGGTGGCTCAGTCAGTTAAGCATCCAACTCTTGATTTTGGCTCAGGTCATGATCTCAGGGTCATGAGCTCAAGCCCTGCATGGGGCTCCTCACTGGGCATGGAGCCTGCTTAAGATTCTCTCTCTCTCTCTCTCTCTCCCTCTGCCCCCCCACCATGTGTGCTCTCTCTCTCTCTCTCTCAAAAAAAAGGAGCAACTAGAAAATCTGAATAGCCCAATATCTGTTAAACAAATTGAATTTGTTTTTTTTTTTTAAAGATTTTATTTACTTATTTGAGAGAGAAAGAGAGAAGAGCTTGAGCAGGGGGAGGGGCAGAGGAGAGGGAGAAGCAGACTCCCTGCTGAGCGGGGAGTTTGATGGCAGGGCTTCAGGATCCTGGGATCATGACCAGAGCCGACGTCAGACGCTTAACTGATGAGCCACCCAGGCACCCCCAAACAAATTGAATTTGTAATCAAAACCTTCCCACAAAGAAAACTCTAGTCACAGATCAAAAAACATAATATGCCTAGGAATAAATCTAATAAAAGATATGTAGGACCCAAATAATCCAAGAGATATGCAATGTTCTTGGATTGAAAGACTCCATGTAGGTAGAGAGTCCAGTTCCCTAAATCAGTCTGTGGATGTGATGTCATCCCAATCCCAATCCCAATCTCAGGAGGGTTTCTTCTCTTAGCAGAAATTGTCAAGCTGATTCTAAAGTTTGTATGTGCAAAGGGCCCAATTTACTAAAGCAACCATGTTAAAGAAGAACAAAATTTCAGAACTTACTCTGACTTCATGACTTAGTGTAAAGCTGTGGTAACCAGGTCAACATGGCATTAATGTGTCTGGGACAGCTGGTTGTTTATGTGGAAAAAATGAACACTGACTCCTATCTAATTCCACAAAACTTAATTCGTAGCTTAGGCCTAGAGATAAAACCCCATAATCATAAGGTTTCTAGAAGAAAACAAAATGTCTTCCTAAGTTGGGGATAGGCAGATTTGGATAGGACACAAAAACACTAGCCCTTCATGGAAAAACTTGATAAATTAGGCTTTATTAAAACACAATATTTAAAAATGGGAAAAGACATGCCACAGACTGAGAAAACAATATTCACAGTATATAGCAAAGGACTTTATCCAGAATATATAAAGAATGTCTATAAATCAATAGTAAAAAGATGAACAACCCAATTTTTAAAATTGGCCAAAGTCTTGAAGAGATACTTTACTAAGGAGACGGAAGAATGGCCTGTCTACAGATAAAAATTTGTCAATATCACTAGTCATCAGGGAAATGCAAATGAAAATCCCATTCAGATACCATTTCATACACACTGGGATGGTTACAGTCAAGAAAACAGACAACACTAAGTGTTGGTGAGGATATGAAGCATCACCAGTAAGAACAGAAAATGCGGCAATTATGTTTTGGGAAACTATTTTGTGATTCCTCATAAACATGAACGTGCATCTCTCCTATGACCAGAAATTCCACTCTGAGTACTTACCCAAGTGAAATGGGTATGTTCACAAAAACACCCGAACCAGAATGTTCGTAGTGGCCTTATTCAAAATAGTCAAACTCTGGAAATAACCCAGTATCTATCAACTAGAGAATGTACTGCAGAATAACCCTAATGTGGGAACTATCACACAGAGAAAAAGAGCACCCTACTGATCGTGGGGCCTGCATCTATTTATATGGAGCCCAAGAGCAGGCCAAGCGAATCGATGGGATAGATGCCAGAAAGCAGTTCCCTGGCGGAGGCAGAGGGGAACAAATTAAATGAAAGTAGGGGAAAGACCTCTATACAAATAAATTTGAAAACCTAAGTAAGTGTATGGTTTACTAGGAAAACATGATTTACCAGAATGGACCCATTAGAGACAGAAACCCTGAATAACTGATTTCTGTAGAAGAAACAGGAGTTCCAAGGAACCAGCCCACAAAAATGTACCAGGTCTAGATGGCTTTAAAATGTAATTCCACCAAGTGTTAAAGATCAGATCACATCAATGCCCCATAAACTGTCCCAGAGCATAGAAAATGAGGGAAATTTTCTAATTATTAGAACTATAACATTGACACTTAACTCTGATAAGGAAAGTATAATAAAAATAAAATTACAGACTTCTCATTATTAATGAGAATGTGCCAATATTAGCAAACAGACTCCAATTTCACATTAAGGAAATATGATACACATGACCAAGTAGATTTATTCCAGGAATACAAGGTTGACTCAATATTAGGAAATCCGTTATCATAATACACCACATTTATAGATCTAAGGGGAAAAGTCTTATAATTATCTCCAAAGATGGCAAAAAAGCTTTCCACAAAATTCAACACTTATTCTTTATAAAAACTCTTAAGAAA